GATCACACATACTCAGGGACTGTAGAAATAAGGATGGAAGATCATTCCCGTGCTTAAGAAGCTATAAACTAAAGAAAAGCCCACTGAGCAACTAGGAAAGTAACACTGCCACATACTGACCACTTCTCTACAGCTACTCTCACACTGGCCCTGCTGCCATACTCCTTGCAACCGTCCTGAAGACAGCCTAACTTCTTAGGGCTCTTATTGAGTAATCAGATTTTCAGTTATATATTTGAACTTCAATCAAGAAAGGTATAGAATTGCTTCAGTAATCCCTTGCACTGAGAACAAAAGCTGTACAATGAGGTCTGAGGGCTGTCATAGATACATGTTGGAAGCGTAATTCCACGTATACAACAAAGTACCTTTTCCAGGTCATTTGCCACATAGACACAGCATTCCTTTGTAACTTTGCTCTTGAGCAATCCCAACAGTTCAATAAGGCAAGCTGGATGTTTGCAGGAGTTACTTCAGCCTCTGGAAGAGCACCTATCTCCGGAGCAGAGCAAGGCAGCTGTTTAATAGCATGTCAACACCCATTCAGGGGAGGAAGTGAAGGAAAATACCACATCCACTGAAATTTAATTTGAAAGAATGCACACGTGGTTTAGGAACAGAGCGAGACAGAGTCATTTCAAGAGAAATGCTATGCAAACAACTTCCCCTTCACTGTATACCACCACTCCCATTTTTGAGGGACTGAGTTCAGAGACATAACGGGGCCAAGCTTGTTAGCTGCTGGATGGAGCCCTTCCACAGGAGAGTGTTCAAGACGGGAATCTCATCCAAGTTAGCTCAGAAGCCTTTGAAGTGGGAATGCAGTTTATAGTCCTCTGGTAATTCCTTCCTTGATAGGATGGGGATAAGGCGTTTTGCTGTTGGGCTGTTGGCTTTTTTTTTCCTCTCTGAATGGAAAATGACCACCATTAGAAGAGGGAAGACTGCACCGACCCTGAGTGCAGTTCCTAGCCTCAAGAGGGAGTGAAGGTAATTTGTAGAGATGCATCTTCTTGTGATCAAAATACACTCGTCTAGAGTAAACTTTACTGAAAGGTAAGTACACCAAAAGCTGTGAAAGGCAGAAAGCCTTGCCTTGGGCCCGCAGCACAGAGACAGAAAATGATTTCATTGTTGTCACGGATCTTGCCAATAATACAGAAAAACGTATCAAGCTGGCACTGTCCTTTTCTAAAGAATTTCCTGGGCAATGCAGCTAAAAAATCTTGGCAATAACAATATTAGCACAAGAAATGATATAATTTACACACCTGTTTGATTCCCCAGCAACACTCTTCTTCAAGAAAATCCATCTTATTACTCTCCAGTTCCTCTCTGTTTTCTCCTGCTGTTTGCAAAACAGACTGATTTTTTTTTCAGATGAGTCCAGCAGCTGATCACCCAACACTGCTCTACAGCCAGCTTGCCTCTTTACCCCACACTAAAAGTGAAAGACCTACCACTGCCATGACCAGATACATAGCATTGAATGGAGCTTTTCCCTTTTGTGCCTCACTGTCCTCACCCTCTGTCTCCCTTTCCAATTAAACCATAGGAACTTCAAAGACTCTTCTCCAGCCCAGGTTAACGGATACAGTTCTAGAAGTGTGCTGAGGCCTTTAGGAGCTACAATACCAAAGTCCTTCAGGATTTTTTTTGTTTCCAGACTGCAATCCAGCAAAGCTCTTGTTTGAAAAAATGAAGGATTCCAACCAAGTCTGAACTACAAACTGCCTTGTTAGAAGATTCAGTTCTCTGAAATGCAATGACAAACGATAAATAATCATCTGTAGTAAAAGCCAGGAAATGTGAAGATAGTCTAAAGTTCTTAGCACCACCAGCATTTACTTAACAGGGACATGGGAAGGGACCTTGAGGGCTCCTTTGAGAGATCATGTGGCAATGGGACACAAGCAGCGCTTGCAGACAGCATCTCTCTTTTGTCTGTAGGGCTACACCAGCTCTCAGTTACAGTCAGAAGTAACCAACAGGCATGAAGGTAAAAGGGGAAAAATATGGAAAGAATAAACACACATGGAATGGGGCCTCAGAGGCTCCAGCAGTGTTTCAGAATGTACTGGTCACCACATGAGTATTAGTAAAAGCAGAGAGGATCAAAGAAGCAGAGTCTATCACTGATAAACTGTACTCCAAGCAGGAGAGGCCATTCTTCATTAAGAAGTTGGTAGCCAGTAGGAAAAAACTTCATATAATTGCACTCTTTGAACCACCTACATGCAGCACCAGTAACAGATACCTTTCTGTTCTATGTGCATCTAGAGAAACAATCTTTTTCCTAAGCATGCTCAGTGCCTACTGCAGTTTCTCTTCCCTTCTAATTTTCTTAAATCTATGCTTTGAGACATTCCTTTAATTAATTTACTTATTTTAATTAAAGGAGGAGTGAGAGACTTGGTTAGCAGCAAGTCAATTTTTGGCTAGCATAAGCCATTGTAGCTCTAATTAAAACTAGGTTTCTGGATAGTCTCAGTATTTAAAGACAAAGTAATGAGTGTGCACCAGACCTTGGCACAGAACCCAGTAGAAGACCCCCCCCCCCATTTAAACCAACTAGGGATCAAACCTGTCACTAAGGTTGATTTGGGTAACACTTATATTATAGTAACACAAGTGAACTTTAATTCTGCCTGACAGCAAAGTGTGCAGAAGAAGAGCATAAGCTATAATTTACATGCAAATAACTGGAGTAAAAAGACTGAGAGACCAATGTTAGAAGCTACGCACAACACAGACCCTTATGAGAGATAAGCTTGCTGAAATCAGGCCTCAAGTGATTTCCCAAGGATAAACAATAAATCAAAGTAATTTGATTGTTTCTAATGCAAGTTAATTATTTACAGTTTTCACATCAACTTTAGGCATCCAAATGTATGTATGTAGGCATTATGTTATAAACTTTCATTTTCTGAAGGAAATGTAAATATACGTACACAAAATCATCAAGGCTACAGACTCAAGCACTCAAAACTCAGGAAATGCCAGAATTAAGTTTGCATGGCAAAAGAAAATATTTTTCTCTTAATTTCATTCCCAGAAATGGTGAAACCATTTTTTGTTTAAGCTTTCCAAACAATTCATCTGAAGCAGACATTCAGCATGGAAAGTTTCAGCCCAAACAGTTAAAATTTGGCCAACTTAGATGCCACTGAAAACAGGGTCTTATAATGGGAAATGTGAGGCAAGTTTAATTATAGGCAGCACTACCAGCATCACTTATAATGTATTTAGGATTAAAATTTCATCCTGAATTTGCCTGGTCTGTTTATCTAGAAATACTGTACAGAAGTATTTGAACCTCCTTTCATGTCTCAATTTCTTACAGTGTTTGTAGGTCTGGGGTCTTCAACTCAGTCCAAAGTACAACACAGCTATTTACATCAGTTGTCAGAAAGAGAAGCCATTACTCAAAGCAAAAATCCCAGATGCATGACCAAAAAGAAGCTGCCACAGGTATTCAGAGGGTCTCAATGCCCACCATATCTCAATTCTTCAGCCTTTCAGAAAGTGATGCATTTTTCCTGGAAAAAGTTGATTACAAAATAAAATTAAATTGGTAACAGCTCTGTTGAAATTAGCAGGTCTGATTGATGATGACTGCCTGGAATTTCATTGGGAAATTAGCTAAATTCAAAATAGACTGTTTGCTATGCTGCTGTCCATAGATCTGGCTGGCATTCTGGTATTGCCACTGCAGTGCTCTGTGTTCTCGCTGGCCCAGCTTCCTCTGCAGGCTTCTGCTGCATGCACTCTGCATTCAGCTCTTATTTTTGATGCAGCTAAAATTCAAACATTAGTCTGCAACACTGGACTAATAGCCAAGTACTGAATCACAATCTTCAACGTTTCACTGATGATAAAATAGCACATATGTATATTACAGAATTCTTAAGCTCCAAACACACAGTCAGAACTAAGAAAAATTAAGGACAATACCAGATGTTAACACACTTACTGTTGGGTTTTTTAGTTTTGTTTTCGTTCTTTTAAATCTCAGTCACCTGCTTCCTGTCTAATACTAACCTACCCACCACAGTTACCAAGTCAAACTTTTATATTTGCAAAGAAAATGGCAGAACAACCCCTGAAGTAGAAATTCAGCAGGGTTTGTTTCTATTGTAGCCTAGAGCAGAAGATGGTAGTCCTGTTACCTCATTCCTACTGACTACCAATTTAAAGAATGATTTACAGGAACTCAAATACAGTAGTGAAGGGCTGCAGAAATATTTTTAAGCATTGCAGGATGAATTTCTTTGGTCCAAGTATTAAATTCTGGTTTATTCAAGCTCTAAGAAGAATGAATTCTTAGAGCTGGGAGGGACCTTTAAAGGTCATCTAGTCCAACTCCCTTGCAACGAACAGAGACGTGAACAGCTAGATCATGTTGCCCAAGTCTTGATCCAGCCTTGCCTTGAAAGTTTCCAGGGATGGGGCATCAACCACATCTCTAGGCACCACCCTCACTGTAAAAGACTTTTTCCTTACATCCACATGAAGACATATAAGCATCAGGTTGTGCTTTGTTCTGTTATTAACCAAGATGTGTTAACCGGGAGTGAAGGAGAATGAGCTTTTGCCCAGTGCACTGCCTGAAATCTGCTTCCAGGCTTCTCACCGATTATAAACTTTGTTTAAATTTGGCTAATTCATCTGCCTCTTTCAGGCCTCAGCTTCCTATTTCCACACTGTAAATACCATCACCTCCATCCTCCTGCCCTGCTCAACTTAGACAGCAGGCTTTTCCACGCGAGCACTGTTCCATCCTGCACATTTTGTACTGCCACTTGCACAAGGCAACGTACCTCCGGTGTCTTTATGTTGTCAGTTACATACAGGCAATCCTTCCAGCAAACTTTGCACCCCCTGTCAAATGTTCATATTTTATTTGGTGCTTCTTCACTTCCTCTCTTCTGAGGCAAGCCCCCCAAACGACATTTAATATTCTACTCGGCTAAACACACAGCGGCTTCTTTATTCACGGCAATAATATGCAATATATGGACAGACTGACATAAAGGAAACATGTGAGGCAAGGCATCCACGGTAGGAAAAATAAAGGTGACCCATAAAGTACTCCACCAACTTTCCTAAAGCCTTGACATCTGTAATTTATAAATCATGGAGGTTTGTTCCATGGTGGCTTTGCCAATTTTGCTATGTTGCAGTGAACATCTTAACAAACTCAAGGTGACACAATGGCTTCTTGATGGAGTGTATTTACACAGAATTTCCAACATCAATCTTGCAGCACAAATGGAAGTGGTGTAATAAAGCTGGGAAACAACGATCATGTACAAAAAAACCCCAACAACCTAAGGAAGCAAAGCATCACATGTTATGGTTCTGTTTTTCTGTTTTCTTTTTTTTTTTTTTTTTAAATGATGTTGAAGTTTTAAGCTTTGCATGCCACATTCTTACAAAAAGAACTGAGAAATAACTTCATTTATAGCAGCACATTTCACACTAAACGTAGCAGCACACACTGCAAAAAGCCACTGTGGTCAGTAGCATGCGAACACATCCTACTGGATTCAATTCAACCACAAAAACTTGGTTCAGATTGGTACTTGACACCCAGCTGCTTAGCTGCAGCAGCATATGAGTAGGAGAATCATAGAATCATAGAATCACCAAGGTTGGAAAAGACCTAAAAGATCACCCAGTCCAACCGTTCACCTATTCCCAATAGCTCCTACTAAACCATGTCCCTCAACACAACATCCAGTCTTTCCTTGAACACCCCCAGGGTCGGTGACTCCACCACCTCCCTGGGCATCCATTCCAGTGCCTGACCACCCTTTCTGAAAAGTAATACTTCCTCATGTCCAGTCTGAATCTCCCCTGCCGTAGCTTGAAACCATTCCCCCTGGTCCTATCACTAATGACACAAGAGAAGAGACCGACCCCCAGCTCACTACAGCCTCCCTTCAGGAAGTTATAGAGAGCAATGAGGTCTCCCCTGAGCCTCCTCTTCTCCAGGCTGAACATTCCCAGCTCCTTCAGCCTCTCCTCATCAGCCCTGTGTTCCAGACCCCTCACCAGCTTTGTTGCCCTCCTTTGAACACGTTCCAGGGCCTCAATATCTTTCTTGCAGCGAGGGGCCCAAAACTGGACACAGCACTCGAGGTAAGGCACATAGATGTTCATAGTGAATAAAATTATCTGCTCCATACAATTACAGTATACTTGTGTTTCTCTGGGTTATGAGAATCACTGTGGGCCAATAACAGAAATGCAAGCAATTCCTCCATGCTTTCAGAACCAGTCTGATATATTATTCTGATAAAAGCTGCATTCAATTTGTCTCTAGGCTCAGAGTATTCCACTTCATCTCTATCTATACATTAAATAAGTTGTTCTTAGTAGTTTTCTAGCTTGCACATTTATCTACGAGATCCATACATATGGATCTTCTCTTGTTTGACACAGATGTCTATTACCATCTCTCCTGAAAATCTGGGCCATAAATCCAACTAATCTTGTTTTTATTAAAGAACTCTGGCACATTTGTTGCTCAAGGAACTGCTCTGAAAATTCAAATGGTGACCATTTCTCTCCAGCTATACTCCAGGGATTCTTTTTAAAGGAATGAGACTCAACTTGGTTTTGACATGACTCCATCTGGTGAAGCTGTAGAGTAAGGAGAAGACGCTACAGAAATGAGCTACGTGCTCTGTTCAGAGTCAAGGATATCTATCAGCTGGGGCACCAGAATTTTCAGGCCTCCTGAAAATGCAAGATGAGAAAGAAAAATCTGTGCATGCTGATACATAAAGTGCTGCCTTGCTGGACGGTGAAGCAACACAGTTTTCCTTCAATAGCCTGCAGTCAGTTGTGCACTCTAAGCATTTATTCAGACACTCTAGTAATAAAAAACAATTTATCTTCCTGATTCTAGATATACAGTAAACACTTGGCAAGTCTTCTTGCATGCCAAGACACTATAAAGCCACATGAAGACAAATCATTTAGCAGATTCTACAGACTGGTCACAGAACACCATTTCACTGGAGAAATTGTGCTATTTTAGAGGATTTCAACTAACTGCCTTAGAAATTAACTAGCAGCCATTTCACTTTCACTTAGATGTGTGAAAATACAGATTTATTCAGACTTCTCTTTTATCAAATACACAGTGGGGAATCAAAGTCTTTGTTCAAGACAATAAATCAAATTTCCAGAGCAATGTTTTAATGAAACTGATGAGATACTCCTACCATCACATTTCTGAGAGATGCAACATCACATAGCAATAAAGGGTTTGAGGAACAGCACAAGGACAGGTTATAAACTTGACAGTAATCCTGAACTACTATGTACTAGCAGGGCATCTAGAATAAACCAGACTAATTCCTGGAAGATGAAGATATACAAGAAACTGTCAAAGCTGCATCTTTTCCTCTAGAAATAGCTAGGATGCCTGCCAGCACTGCGAGGCATGAGGGGTATTAGAGCAGTGCCCCTTCTAAGCACAACTCTTGACTCCGTTGTCCGTTTCTGTTAGAGAAGAGCAGCCTTCACCCTGTGGTCCCTGAACCACAGAGGCTTGTGCTGCAGCATGGTTTCAGGGGAACTCTGTAAATGGTGAGGAACTTGGGAACACAAACGTAAACTCACATCTGCCAGCAATTACACTCACTGAAACACAAAAAAAATTCTGCTTATTTGTATTAAGCTGTAAATGCAACACAGCATTTGCTTTCAAACATAAAGATAAGCCTGCCACTATCTAAGCTGAACACTGTGGCTTACCATCAAAAACCAGATGTGCCAGCAACCGTGTTCCTATTTCCAAACTTTAATCTGGTTGCATATAAATCAGTATTGTTTGCTATCAAAACTTCAAGATTTATTAGTTCAATAAAAGAGATCCACTCTTAAAAACTAATATACTTTTTCATAACTGTATTCCTATACACGTACTCTAACACCTGAGAAATCTTCTAAGCCTAACAAGCATAGCCCCCAGGAAAAAAAAAAAAAATAAATCAACATCTAAAGCACAAAGAGAAGAAAGTGCCAATACAGTAAGAAAAAAATGAATAGTTCTTATAAGGTCCCTGTGCCACTGCCATCAGCAGTAATGGGATGGTATTTCAAGGAAAACTCAATACCTCGCAACTCTGAAGAAAGCTGAGGTAGCAGCCAGAACCTGTAAACCACCAGAGCAAAGAGAAGAACAACAAATCTCTGCACAGCATATCAAAGGAGGATGTTGGCAAGATGGCAGGAGAGGTTGAACCTCCCAGTGTTAAACTACGTTTGTGGCTGTTTGACAGAAGGCAGCAAAAGGGCAAACAAAATGGCATCTGACATGGAAGTGCTTCAGAAGTAAAGGTGTATAATTGAATTCCTCTATGGAATTCCTCTATGCAAAATTCATCAACACTTGTGGAACAATGATAAGGCCAAACAATGGATATGAGCACAGTGAGGTGGTGCATTTTAGCAAGGAACAGTGCCAGCTCAGATTCAATTTGCCACCAACCAGAATGCCCAGATGCCTTTTAGCAAGGATGCTCTCCAGCCTACCTCCCACAGACAGCACACAGAGTCAGGGTCACCCCATCCCTGGCACAGAGCCCAGCTCTTGCTCTTCTTTATGCAGATGAGGAACATCCCCATGTTCGTCCAGATCTCAGAACAAGGTCTCTACCCTCAACAGAGTCAACACTCCTCCCAGCTTAGCATCACCCACAAATTCACTTCATACAACTGCCAGATCTTTATTGGAATCAACAGTGAAAACATTCCAGAGAAAGGACCTTAAAATCTTAAAAGGACCTGCAACAAGTAGGACAATGTCAGGCCATAGCCTCCCCTCACCCAACACAGCCATGTTTTGGTTGTCATGGGACATTCTTAGGGTCCCACTGCCATGGCCTTATGATGTCCTGAGCCACCTCCCTGCTGACGGCTATAGAAACAGGGACCCTGACAACAGAACACCAGTCGCTGACCAACTTCTGTCGAGGAAGCACGCATCTGACACACAGAGCTCAACAGACAGATCCTTCCCTCCCACTGTAGGAACTTCCAAGGAGGACAATGAATCCTCCTCCAGCAAAGAAGCGGAGGCTTCTGGGGAGCAGCAGTGAGCCCAAGCCAATGGACGTAGACCCCCCAAACAGCAATGCTGAGCCTGTGAAGGTGGACCTACCTCCAGAGAACAAACCAAAGGAGGTGGATCCATCTCCATCAAGCACAGGCAAGCACTATAACATCATGATATGCTTGCCTGGAGACATCACTAAATCTGTTTGTGCCACAGCAGGGCTCTCCATTTCCATCTCGGCATTGAAGTCACCATCTGCCAGAGAGCCCCTAGGACAGCTGCTGCTCTCCGGAACCCCTCCTTCCACATCCCCCATCCTTATCCTTCCCCAAAACCTCTCACCTCTTCTTCACTGAGGTCTCAAGAAAAAGGCACCTAAGACTACAATATGATAATAGCAAGGTGGAAAAGTCTTTGGCTACAGCAAATGAGAAGGAGCCCAAATGGAGCAGCCACAGATAAAGAAATAAAGGGAAAAAGCTGCTTACCTTTGGAAGGCCTCAGGTAGGCAGCGATCTCCAACAAGACCCACACCACCACTGACAACCCTTAAATAGGGTCCCCTCTGGACCTCAGGTCTCAGTGCTGGGGAGGGGCTCAGGCAACTGAGGAACCCCTGAGTCCTCACTAAGACCAGCAATAGCTGCCAATGGGGTACAGTGACCTCCTAGCTGCACAAAAACAAGGCACAAATCCCACTAATTCTGCTCTGAAAGTAAAGGGGTTGCTCCAAAAGTAATGCTGCCTATTTGATTATATTGGCTCAAGAGATTAAAGGCAAATGTTGGTGGGATGGCAGCAGAGGCTGAACTATCCCATGTATCCCATTACACCCTTCTGCTGTACAACAGGCAGCAGCAGAGGGGAAGGCTGGCAAAATGGCCACTGAGCTGGAAGTGTTCATGAACTCCTCCCTGCAGAAAAAAATGGCAGTCATTGGCAGTCACTATCACTTGCTGAACATTGATGGAGACCAAACAGTGAATATGAGCATAGCTGTGTGTTTCATCAGTGGTGACAATGCATCACCTGTGCAGGTGTAGCCTTTGAGGAGCGCAGCTTGCAGCCTCCTATTCATCACTGGTAAGACTGCACAGCTACTGGTGGTGACTGTGTTGAAGAAGCATGCTTTGTAGCTGAGAATTTGCCCTATGAAATAGTATTTTGCCTTTTGTGTCTGCTGCTATTTCCCTGGAAATAAATCGGAGGCATTACTTCTGGAGCAGCCTACACGTTATCACTCATGAAGAATACAGCAAGCAGCTGTTTACTATATATCCCAGTGGATTTGTGTCCTTCATCACCACATCCTGAACTCCTTCTGAATCACCCTCTTCAATTTCTAGCTCCTGGAAACTGGAGTGACCTCAAGGAACCTGTTAAAATCATTTATAGTCACACTGATTGAACTGCAATACCTATTTAAGCCTCTGCTTCCCCAAACTATCGTCTATAGCTCAGAAAGTCACACTTCCACAGAGTCTGGATCAGTCTGGAGGCTGTCAAGGACTGATAACAGTGCTGCGATAATGAAACAATCTCACAACAGCTAGAACAGCCATGCTATCCCAAAATGCCAGCTAGTAAGCCACAGCTGTATAGCTGGTGGTTACAGAAATGGCTTTTAAATGGTTTGAACAACATTGAAAATGTCACCGTTAGGAAGACTGTAGATTCCTCCTGGAAATATTTTTAATATGTCCTCCCATACAGGGAGGCATTTAATTTTGGGCTTGTTTCCCTGCAGAAACAAGGCTTATGCAACCACAAAGTCTGCATTCCTACCCAGCAACCTTTGTTATTCATTACTGCAGCTCTGTGAGATTTATCTGAAACTGGCAGTCCTGTAAAAGTCATGAGAGCACATGACAGTAGGAGATTACCTTCGAGACTTAAAAGATGAACTCACACTGAAGCCTTCTTTAAATACCTCTCGTAGTTCACTCTGACACCAAAGATCCCAGCTGCTGCAAAGAAATCCCTGAGAACTCAGTTTTGTTCCTCGTGTAGCACAGTTAACAACTGGTGCTGCAAATAAGGGCAGACGAGGCAGTCCCATCTTTTGCGCTCTCCTTCAGCTTAGCAAAAGTCAGTTGTACAGCAGTAGCCAGTGGGCATGGCCAGTTTTGTGGCAGCCAAATAATGCAAGCACTCAGACAAGATACTGAGCACAATTGCAGAAGTACTAAAAATATTCAACTTTCAACATAAGATAATGTATTTGTGCCCAAACAACATAGCATGGATTATCCTGTTTTTAATGACTCCTACTAGATGAGTGTTTTCCTCAGTAAAGGTTACTGGTAACTTTGGTCATATAAACTCCTTAATTCCCTAGGAAGCATCCACACTGGTAACAGAGGGAGGATGGATGAAGAACTCCATGCTGCTTCCCTCTCCAGGCAGCATTCAAGGGAAGACTAAACCATACACATGATCCATAGCAACACTCAGAGCTGGTATGTGACAGTGTGGTAAATTAGAAGCACATGTGCAAAGGGAGAAGTGTAATGCAATTGGCATGCTTGAGGCGTGATTAAAGCAAGACATTGACTGGAAGATTGAATTACGAGAGTGTCAAATTCGGACAAGGGATGAAGGCAGCAAAGCAGGCATAGTTGGCAACATGGGGAAGAGAAACATTACATCAGCAAAGATTAAATAAAATTGCAGGTTTTGTTGACACCACAGAACCTACTTGCATTAAATAAAAATTGAGGGGGGAAAAAAAAAAAAACAAAAACATGAAGAAGTGGTAATTGACAGCAGTTGAAACACCTGAGGTCCAAAGAGGACATTGTTTTATATGAAAAGAATGTCAGCAGGGCCAGAAAGGAGAAGGAAAAAAACCCAAGACTTCAAAAGCGCATATTCCTTAAGCAGAAGCCTGTAGAGCATTCTGGGTGTCCTTCTTGAAAGGAAGCCAAACACAGCCAGCAATAAAAACCTTTGTGAACATGCACACGTCAGGAAGCAGGGTAAACACACACGATTGCTCTATGGCCAATATCACATTAACATCAGCGCAAAGGAAGCAGCAACTGCTATAAAATAAAACAGGAAAGTGCCTCTCTCTGAGAGGAAACAGAAACACAAAGATGAAGCAAATGGCCTTTCTATAACCAGAATGCTACCAAAATGTCTACTCACATGCTTTGCAACCAACCTTTCTGCCCTTTGCTTCCAAACCACTTCCAAATTAGTGAATAGCTCCTTCATTTCACTGAATGCTGGCTTGCATATTAATCTTTGACTGAGCACAGGCTGCATGTACATCCTTCCCATGCTTTAGCAGTTTCAAGACCATATCCCAAAATCTCTATTATTCATCTCTTGGGGAAGTAAGAAGATGTGGTGAGAGGGAAATCCTTCAGCTATTAGCTACCAATGTACAGATAAGTAGATATGGAGAGTAACGTAGTGTCAGTTATCAAAAGAGCACCAAAGCAGCCAGCCCAAGGCCTCAGAGGGGCAACCTAATGATAGCAATTCCTCCAGCACTCAGAATTCTCCCCTCCCAAAGAAAAGGTTTCTGAAAGCTCTGTTGCTGCATTAACCAAGTTATCTAGCTGACTGCAAACTCAGACAAGGTGCTGCCAGTGATGAATGTGACATGAGACCATACAGCCACACAAAGCTTAAAGGCAGTAGAAATAGCTCAAAAATCCCTACGGTAAATAAATGTTAAATATCCTATGCAGAATATCTACATCAACATGTAGGATAACCCACTCACACACACATAGTTAACTATTGATTTTTTATTAATTTGAGATCAGTAGATTAGCTACGTGCAAACTGTAATACCAGAAAGCTAAACATTCAGTGTTAGTTCTTTTTTAAAGGTACTGAGATACCTTAAAAAAAAAGAGTCTTGGTTTCAAAGAGCAAAATAGAAAGCTATCTTCCAAAGCAAAGTAATTCACCTTTAAAATTCAACTATTTCAGTTGCCTTCCTTCAAATTACAACAATCAGCTCAACTCTGTGTAAATACACAGAAGCTGTATAACCAGGACTATGTGTAGAAATATCAAGTGTAAAAGCCATGTCATATGAACCTGAACTGACAAAAAGAGGAAATCCCAAACTTGCCTGCTTACTGACAAAAGCTATTGGTGGCAAAAGAAAAATGGGGGGAAAAAGCAACAAGAATTACTCAACACATTACAAAGTCCAAAAAGCTAATTTATAATAATGCTAACTGATCCCAGCTATCATACTAGCTTGCGGCAAGAGGCAGGAGATGACAAGCAGTTTATAAACAGAGGCAAAGGACATGGATAGGCACTTATTCACCTTAGCTATTAACTCAGCCACTAGGCTGTGTACCAGCTAGTGTACCAACCCCCAGCTGGACAAAGCCTATGAAATGTCACCTGCTTTCTCCACACCGTAACCCTTCACAACCTTGTTTCTAATCTGTCTGCAGTGCGATCTGAACTATCCACAATGCTCTCAGACCCTGCAATCTCAGAGTACTTGAACACAGAAAAGCATTTTAAGTTGAAATGTATTCGTTTTGATCACATTTGTCCTCCAGGAAGAGTTGTATTTGTGTATAGCTTCATTTCCTCATTGAATACTCCGCAAAAGCTATTTATTGTCTCATGCAGTTTCTGCAGTGAACATTATCTCTTTAGTGCTACCATGAACCACGGATCTCTGTGGTTTTTCCTGCCAAAAAACATTATTTTGACATACCCTTAGATTAGTCATACATAACAGCCCTACAAATCAATCATCTTTTCTACTACTGATGTCAAGGTATTACTATTTGCTAATGTCATGCTATTACACTTAATCATTAGATTACTTCATTGTTAACTTACTTCCCCAAGCAGTTTACAGATCTTCAGCAAGAAATCTCAGTGTTGAAACGTGTTCTCCCATGAACACTGATTGCTCGTGCTGATCAGACTGGAGAGGCAAATCATTTTTTTTTTAACCATTGCATTTCAGCAGTGCCAGCTCACAGTCTGACAATTCTCAGCCACCCCAAGCCACTGTTTCAACGTGGAGAGATGAATGAAGTTGATTTCAGAATTCAGATCTAGACAAGAAGCCTTCTGAAGAAGGAACAAGTGGTGACTTACAAGAGCTGTAACAGGAATATATGAGCACATAGGGTTAAACAAGCTCTTTTTTTTAACATATAATTCATTTCCAAATATAAACAGTAACAACAACAAAAATTAGAGTCCATCTGCACCTGTACATTTTCCTCTAAAAAAAAAAAATATGTAGAATTGAGGAGGAGGTGTTCAGAAAACACAAGCAGCAAGCAAGTGAATAGGGGAGAAACTTGAGCGTCTTGTTCCTTTTTCACAGTATCTTACACCAGAAAAAAAAAAGCAGACAACCACTTAACACGCTTGCTTTCCTTCACATACATCTTTTTACTTTTTTTTCCCCTCTCACTCTTTTTAATAAGTATTTTAAGTAGTTCTCTTCTAACCTGGTCATCTTTCCATCTGGGAACTCAAAATCCTGACAAAAGCCACGGAAATGATTCACTCATCACTCCCTTCAGCACCCTATCTCACAAAGGAGACAAACTGGAGAGCCACTTTGGGGACCTGCAAATGATAGCCCCTACCCAAGATGGGTCTTGGGAAGCATCTGTGCTTCCCATAAATAAAGCATCACAGGCTAAATTATAAAGAGATGAGGATCTGAAAAAAAGAAAAAAAGAGGCTGCAGAAAATGTTCCTGTAGAACACAACTTGAGCAGATCAGCAGCTTTTCTGAGCATTCTGTTCTGTTTGACAGTAGATAATATGAAAAGAAATGTCAGAATCTAGTCATCCCACAATGCTCCCAGAGTTATTAGAGCATCTGCAAGGTGATGACCAGTATGTACACGGCAGCTGTACACAAAGCCATTTGCTGCTGCTAAGGAGATCTTACCTTTGCAGTGCTCAAACTGTCACTCGGGTAACCTCAGCAACTCCCCAGGCACTTGCACTTGTTTACACTGCCTTTAAAAACTGAAATAAAATAAAAGAAATTAAAAAAAAAAAAAAAAAAAAGTCAGGAAGGAAGGAATCACAAATTGCTTGTCATGAGCAAAGAAAGGAATGATCTGTAAGTCAATATCTATACCCAAAAGGCCTAGCAAGATTCTATAAATCTCCCATAGGAATAATTAAATAAAGCCTAACCCTGTAGAAATGAGCCCAATGCTGGTATCACACAGCCCACGGCACCACTGACATCCAACTTACTCAACACAGCTGTGCTGCCTTGGGGGCCAGTTCTCCTCGCCTTGAGAGGTTTTGGTTTTATTTGGTTTTAAAACCTCAGTCCAGGTTACTCAGTCCTGCACTTAGAGCATCCTTTGAATGGTTCTAAAGGTGGCACAGCAGACAATGCCAGCAATCAGCTGTTAATCTGACAAAAAAACTACATGATCTCAGCATAGCTCTTGGTCTTGGTCTGCAGTCTGCGGACAGATTTAGGAAGTGCTGGGGGCAATGGGCTTGCCTTTTCTGTTGCTCTGGGGCTGTGGTATGGAAATTGATGAGTCCCAGGGACATCAAGGAAGAGAAATCCGACAAAGGCACTGAGTCCTTCAGTACTATCTACAGAATATACTCAGAATCTTCTATTGATATTGATTATTCTAGCAGGCTACTCTCATGCACATGCAGCAATCTTTAAGGGTTTCTTATTCTGCTGCTCCTAAAAGCACCTGAACTGTTGATTCCAGAAGAAAGCCTTGTGAGTTCATGTACTTTGTGCAAGCCAACCTTGAAAGACTGAATCTCAAATGAAGAAAAACAACACCAACAGAAAAAAACTAGTGCCACAAAATAAGCTATTTAAAATTAATGCATAATTCTGAAAAACATATAAACAGTGTAATTAACTGATTTAAAATCAGTTCAAACCAATTTGCCTTACTGTCTGGTCCCAGCCAGTGCCTTTTTATCCCCTCCTTACTAGATAGTACTTCACACACTGTAATCAAAGTGTTGAAGTGTGCCTTCTTCTTTCACCCACCCAAGAGGCCATACATCAGACACAATTAAGTTCTATTCTGCCCCTCAGTTCTTTTTCAACAAAAACACTGGCATGAATGCCTCTTGGTATTCACACATCTCTAGACAAACCCTGGCAGCAACCAACCCAGCATGCTGCCTCTACCCTCCAATGCAAATTTGCCCTGTGAACACTATTACAGTCAAACAGCAATATCCTCAGCTGGCAATTAACGTATACACTCTGAAATCATACTTGCTTACATTGATGACATAGCCTAATTAGCACAGAAGCCACAGACTAACACACTGTTGTCAGCTGAGTTGGAACAGTTTAAGAAATGTATAGCCTCAGGCTGTCTGTTACCACACTTCCAGGGGCGGTTATGCTGGCCAACTTTCATTCCACCGAAACAGCACCAGTCTTCAAAGAAAACACAAAGCTGGGATTAATAATCCTCATCAGGCTACAAGGACAGCGTTCAGCCCTGCATTTCCTCCTAGCTGCTAGAAGGATGCTCCCATATTTTGCAATAGTTGTAGACAGCCCACACCCACCACTGTTCAACAGCAAAGAAGCAATTCTCGTCAAAGGCTTCCTAAAGTAGTTGAGGGGAGAATGTTCTCAGCCCTTGAAAGAAAGCACAGGTGACCCACAGTTATCCCAGCCTCCCGTGCTACAGTTGTTCTGGGCGAGTTTCTTTTTGTTTTAGGTCTAAACAAACAAGAGAGCAACATGCTTCAAGCAAGACTGTGGAGGCACATTGTTTCAGGCCAATCCAGACCATCCAGACTCTTATCTTTGGTTGCCCAAAGATGTTGTGGGTGCCCCATCCCTGGAGGTGCCCAAGGCCAGGCTGGATGATATTCTGGGCAGCCTGATCTGGTGGGGGGATGGGGAGACACCCAGCTCAGGGCAGGGGGGTGGGGCTGTGTGAGCTTTATTGTCCTTTCTGACCTGAGCCAGTCTCTGATTCTATACAACGTGATATTCTGTATATATTGACAGTAGCAATAGTTGCTCCAATAATGAAAATAACAGAGAGGCTAGGGAAGACCTCTTCCACTCTCACATCTTTTGTTGACTCCTGTTAAGGAACTCAAAGGAAACAGCTAACTCAAAGGCCACACGGGTGTCAGAGACTTCCATTTTCCTTCACAAATTGATCAGTACATGCCATAATGCAAGAGTAGCAGATCTTACAGTAAGATAATGCTCACCAGAGGCCACAACTCACAGCTGGGGCAGCCCAAGACAGCTTCTACACCATACCAGAGTAAAACTGGCTCTAAAAAAAAAGTGCTCCTTTGTCATTCATGTTAAAATAACGAGGTGAAGCTGGGGGAATTAAGCAATTCACTTAACACTGCTGCCCTGGACAGAGACTTTTCCCCTCCCACCCGTCCCCAGGCAATGGCATCCAGGTGCAAGAAGCCCCACGCTGAGGTGGTGTGAGAGCCTATTGTTGCCTGGGTTGGCTTGCACCTGGCCAGCGTTTGGGCTGAGCTGATAATTAAGCAAATTGAGATCAATTAACCACAGGTGGAGGTTCCCCTCCGGAGGGAGCTGCTAATCCTCAGAAACAAGGAGTGCATCCCAAATGAGCCCCTGCTCTTGAAGGTCAAGTAACAAAAACAATACGGTGCTGTGCGCTTGGACAGCAGAGTGACAAAAATGGCCTGAAGTTCTCCCTGTTGGGGCTGATTTCTCCTCAGATGTGTGGAACTTGGGCAGCACCTGCTCTGCTGCCAGGAGGGGCCCAGCAGCAGCTCCACGTGGAGCAGTGAGGGTTCCTGGCCTCTGCCATGGCCCAGAAACCAGCTGGCATGCAAATACTGCTGCTGTCCCACCCTCTGACATTCAGACTTCTGCCCTCCTCCCTTGTTTGGTAGTCAGTCTCACGTTCACAAAAACTCTCACTAGAACGAAGGAAAGATCATGATTTGGTATGAGATGCTAACTATTGATACGTGATTGTTAGGTGACCCCAAAACACATGGTTGCATAATTCGTTTTCCTTCTTTCGCCTATGTTTTGCCTTTGCACCTCTGTTTTCCTCAAGCCCCTGTCCCTCTACAGCCGCAGAGACCATTTTGGTGGATAAGGAATTAGGGGGAAGGTGTCAGCCAGAGGCTGTGGTCAGCAGCACTGCTCTGCCCCTCTGAGTGCCCTCCTGCAGAACTGCGTTCACAGGAAAGATGTGGAGCTCTTGAGAGGGTCCAGAGCAGGGCCACGAGAACGGTCAGAGGGCTGGAACACCTCTGCTATGAAGACAGGCTGAGGAAGCTAGGGGTGCTCAGCCTGGAGGAAAGAAGGCTCCGGGGAGACCTTGTTGTGGCCTTGCAGTGTTTAAAGGAAGATTATAAACAGGAGGGAAAACGGGTAGAGGTAGGTAGAGGTCAAGGGGGAAAGGTTTTAAATTGAAGGAAGGGAGATTTAGATAAGATGCTGGGGGAAGCTTTTCACTGAGAGGGTGGTGAAGTGCTGGGACAGGGTGCCCAGAGAGACTGTGGGTGCCCAGGCCCTGGAGGTGTTCAAGGCCAGGTTGGATGGGGCCCTGGGCAACCTCACCTAATGCTTGATTTTGTGGCTGGCAACTCTGCCCGATGCAAGGATTGGAACTCAATGATCTTCGAAGTCCCTTCCAACCCAACTTATTCTGAGATGATTCCATCATTCCTTTTCCCTCACACCCTCCCTCCTGGCTTTGCAGCTGAGAGGAATGTAGTTCCTCTGTTGTTCAGAGGAGGGCAAAGATATTTTTTTATCCTTCCTTTTGACCCCTCCTATCCCTCAATTCCTCTTAGTTCCTCAGGAGGTGAAACAGAACACTGCCTGCTTTCCCCAGCACCCAGATGTCTGTTTTGCTTGAAGAAGAAAGCAGGAAAGATATCCAACCCAAACAGAGATTTCCCCCTGACAGGCAAGAACAGAGTGTGACAACTGATGTGTTTTGTCTTCATGCAAATCCAGAAGGTTTATGAATAAGCTGTAAAAGCTGGCAATGCTGGAAGGAATTAGTATCATAGAAGGTCCTGTAGTCAGAGGAGTTTCAGACTTACAAAGACAAGGACAAAGAATCTCAAGGGAAGACAAATTCATCCCAGTTGCACTTGTGCTGCTGTGAACTGAGAGTAGTTTTCAGTGCTGTAGTTTTCTGTACCTGAAACATGAAGTACATCTGGTTTGCCATGGTGTAACATGAGACTGAACTTTGAATTTTTATGAACACAGAGAAACAGCTGCAGAAGTTAAAATGCACATTAATCCCCTCTGTAAAGTATTTGGCTCAAAAAGGAGTATATAAACTCACAAGCTTTGTGCATCATTTCTCATATATGCTATTCAGGTCTGTTGCTTCTCAGCACACACAGTGCAATAACACATTCAGCCACATATGTAACATTAGATTTAACAAAAGGATTTAGTTTGAACTACTTCAGACATTTACATCAATCCCACCTGACAAGCAGGTGGCCCTTCAACATACCTGCAGTTTATTTGTCATCGAAATAACCTAGGAGGTCCAAAATGACAAATCAGGGTAACATCACAGCATTGAATCACATTGGGAAGAAAAATAGACCTTATTTGTGAAAAAATTCTTCATTGCCAGTCTTAAAAATCGTGGTCATAATCATGCTTTTCAGGCTGTCAATAAGCACAGAAAAACAGGCTCCAGGGCAAGACAGTATTCAGAGCAAGAATTAATAGGACAAGCTTGGCTGAAATTAAGAATAGGCTGAGGGGATGACAAACTGTTGAGGTACCCTCCATAGTGATATAACATTAAATACTGCCAGTAAAGCAGTTGCTGCTCAGATCAACAAAAAAGTATTTTTTGTAAAGGGGAGACTCGTCTCAAAAGAACAGAAAACGTGTCTGATTTCATTTTGAAAGAACAGAATGCAGAGAATTTGAATGTAGCCTGCATCAGGCTTTAAGGTACTATGTGATAAAGATTGTTATTATATTTACAGGGTCCAGTGATGCAATCCTTAATTACATTGAAAGATACTTCATTCCTTAAATAAAACCCTGGAGTTCGGCGGATCTGTTCATGTGAAGTTGTATTCAGGTGAAGAGCTACAGTATACTTTGAGTGCTCTTTGCTTCTTCTTTTTCTTCATATAATATGAGAGCTCCTAAATGGTTTTCCAAAGAAGCCAGAGAGAACATTGTTTGCCTGTTCCTTTTTCATCTGTGAGAAGTGCATTACTGCCCTTGACGTCATTACCAAAGTCTGTGCTTTAGCCCTGAGACTGGTGCAGTCAGATTTACTGTTTAAATTATTTTGGGCTACCTTCAGCTTTGTCTAAGCTGACATCTTGTATAATACCCTTGTTCTGGCCTCTCCATCCAGGGTACTGTGTAGGAAAACTGGTTATCAAGTCTTTTATTGAATTCTTGGCTTTTTAAGTGTTAGAAAATATCAAAATAGCATCTCCAGACAG